TAAACAAACCAGGACTAAACCAGGACTAAACCAGGACTAAAACTAGGACTAAACCAGGACTAAACTAAACCAGGACTAAAAACCAGGACTAAACCAGGTCTAAACCAGGACTAAACCAGGTAAACCAGGACTATAAACCAGGATAATAAACCAGGACTAACCTGGACTAACCAGGTCTAAACCAGGACTAAAACCAGGACTAAACCAGGTCTAAACCAGGACTAAACCAGGACTAAAACCAGGACTAAACCAGGACTAAACCAGGTCTAAAGGACTAAACCAGGTCTAAACCAGGACTAAACCAGGACTAAACCAGGACTAAACTAAACCAGGTTAAACAGGACTAAATCCTGCTGTGTGGACGTGTTTCTTCGTTTTTCTATCAATAATATTTTTAATTTGGTTCAGTAAAGTTTGGACTTTTTATTTTCTTTTATCAGACAAAACTTCTTATGTGAAGATTTCCTCGTCTTTGTTTCTCTACAGCAAATCAAGTAATCCAAAGTAATCAGATTACATTACTCACTTTAAGTAATTTAATGGATTCCGTTACAGAGTACATTTTGGGGTGTGTAATCTGTAATCTGTAGGGGATTACATTTTAAAAGTAAACTTCCCAACACTGCTCATGTGTTTTCTGTTACTTTTGTTTTAATATTTTAATGCGTTTGTACCAAAAATATAGTTCATGCTTTTATTTTGAAAGGCCGCTGTACAACAGGAAGCGGCCACGAGAGACCGGATGTTTACCTCCCGGCTAACAGCTGTGCGGCTAACTGATTAGCACAACGGAAAGTTTAGTTTGTTTAATGTAAAAATCAGAGAAAATGTGTGAAGTTCATATCTGGTCCATCCCGCTGAGCACCTGGCTGAGGTGGGAACAAGGTTAGTCATGAATCATATTGGAAATACTTTGCTTTGGAAATGTTTGGTTTGTTTTGTACGTTATAATTGTATCCAGCAGATGGCGCCAGTGCGCTTCACCTGAACAACGTTCTGCGCAGCGACACTTGATTTGAATGTGTCATTTCATGTTCAGTAGAGTCCGACGGTACGACGGACTATAAGACTCAAATCAACTAAACATGCTGCCGCTATGACAATAAACATTTCAACATTAAAGTCCTCATTTTATGACAATAAAGTCACAACATTTCAACATTAAAGTCCTCATTTTATGACAATAAAGTCACAACATTTCAACATTAAAGTCCTCATTTTATGACAATAAAGTCACAACATTTCAACATTAAAGTCCTCATTTTATGACAATAAAGTCACAACATTTCAACATTAAAGTCCTCATTTTATGACAATAAAGTCACAACATTTCAACATTAAAGTCCTCATTTTATGACAATAAAGTCACAACATTTCAACATTAAAAGTCCTCATTTTATGACAATAAAGTCAAAACATTTCAACATTAAAGTCACAACATTTCAACATTAAAGTCCTCATTTTATGACAATAAAGTCATTTCAACATTAAAGTCCTCATTTTATGACAATAAAGTCACAACATTTCAACATTAAAGTCCTCATTTTATGACAATAAAGTCACAACATAAAGTCACAACATTTCAACAGTCCTCATTTTATGACAATAAAGTCACAACATTTCAACATTAAAGTCCTCATTTTATGACAATAAAGTCAAACATTTCAACATTAAAGTCGTAAAAATAAAACATTGTAGAGAATAAAGTCGTAGTTAAAATAAAGTGTTAATATTAGGAGAATATCGGCGGCTCGTGGAGAATTTGGAGCATTTTGTAAAAGAGAAGAATCTGTGTATGCGCCACATACGGACTGAACCAGGACTAAACCAGAACTAAACCAGGACTAAACCAGAACTAAACCAGGACTGAACCAGGACTGGACTTAAACCAGGACCTAAACCAGGACTGAACCAGGACTGAAACCAGGTTTTCCAGTCCAGTCCTGGTAAACCTGGTTTAGTCCTGGTTCCAGTCCTGGATTCAGTCCTGGAATGAACAAATGATACACAGATTCTTCTCTTTTACAAAATGCTCCAAATTCTCCACGAGCCGCCGATATTCTCCTAATATTAACACTTTATTTTAACTACGACTTTATTCTCATAAAATTACGACTTTAATGTTGAAATGTTATGACTTTATTCTCATAAAATTACGACTTTAATGTTGAAATGTTGTGACTTTATTGTCATAAAATGAGGACTTTAATGTTGAAATGTTGTGACTTTATTGTCATAAAATGAGGACTTTAATGTTGAAATGTTGTGACTTTATTGTCATAAAATGAGGACTTTAATGTTGAAATGTTACGACTTTATTGTCATAAAATGAGGACTTTAATGTTGAAATGTTGTGACTTTATTGTCATAAAATGAGGACTTTAATGTTGAAATGTTGTGACTTTATTGTCATAAAATGAGGACTTTAATGTTGAAATGTTGTGACTTTATTGTCATAAAATGAGGACTTTAATGTTGAAATGTTGTGACTTTATTGTCATAAAATGAGGACTTTAATGTTGAAATGTTGTGACTTTATTGTCATAGCGGCAGCATGTTTAGTTGATTTGAGTCTTATAGTCCGTCGTACCGTCGGACTCTACTGAACATGAAATGACACATTCAAATCAAGTGTCGCTGCGCAGAACGTTGTTCAGGTGAAGCGCACTGGCGCCATCTGCTGGATACAATTATAACGTACAAAACAAACCAAACATTTCCAAAGCAAAGTATTTCCAATATGATTCATGACTAACCTTGTTCCCACCTCAGCCAGGTGCTCAGCGGGATGGACCAGATATGAACTTCACACATTTTCTCTGATTTTTACATTAAACAAACTAAACTTTCCGTTGTGCTAATCAGTTAGCCGCACAGCTGTTAGCCGGGAGGTAAACATCCGGTCTCTCGTGGCCGCTTCCTGTTGTACAGCGGCCTTTCAAAATAAAAGCATGAACTATATTTTTGGTACAAACGCATTAAAATATTAAAACAAAAGTAACAGAAAACACATGAGCAGTGTTGGGAAGTTTACTTTTAAAATGTAATCCCCTACAGATTACAGATTACACACCCCAAAATGTAGTTTGTAACGTAATCCATTAAATTACTTAAAGTGAGTAATGTAATCTGATTACTTTGGATTACTTGATTTGCTGTAGAGAAACAAAGACGAGGAAATCTTCACATAAGAAGTTTTGTCTGATAAAAGAAAATAAAAAGTCCAAACTTTACTGAACCAAATTAAAAATATTATTGATAGAAAACGAAGAAACACGTCCACACAGCAGGATTTAGTCCTGGTTTAGTCCTGGTTTAGTCCTGGTTTTAGACCTGGTTTTAGTCTGGTTTAGACCTGGTTTAGTCTGGTTTAGTCCTGGTTTAGTCCTGGTTTAGTCCTGGTTTAGACCTGGTTTAGTTCTGGTTTAGTCCTGGTTTAGTCCTGGTTTAGTCCTGGTTTAGTCCTGGTTTAGTCCTGGTTTAGTCCTGGTTTTAGTCCTGGTTTAGTCTGGTTTAGACCTGGTTTAGACCTGGTTTAGTCCTGGTTTAGACCTGGTTTAGTCCTGGTTTAGACCTGGTTTAGTCCTGGTTTAGTCCTGGTTTAGACCTGGTTTAGTCCTGGTTTAGACCTGGTTTAGTCCTGGTTTAGTCCTGGTTTAGTCCTGGTTTAGTCCTGGTTTAGTCCTGGTTTAGACCTGGTTTAGACCTGGTTTAGTCCTGGTTTAGACCTGGTTTAGTCTGGTTTAGTTCTGGTTTAGTCCTGGTTTAGTCCTGGTTTAGTCCTGGTTTAGTCCTGGTTTAGTCCTGGTTTAGTCCTGGTTTAGTCCTGGTTTAGTCCTGGTTTAGACCTGGTTTAGACCTGGTTTAGTCCTGGTTTAGACCTGGTTTAGTCCTGGTTTAGACCTGGTTTTGTCCTGGTTTAGTCCTGGTTTAGACCTGGTTTAGACCTGGTTTAGTCTGGTTTAGACCTGGTTTAGTCCTGGTTTAGTCCTGGTTTAGTCCTGGTTTAGTCCTGGTTTAGTCCTGGTTTAGACCTGGTTTAGTCCTGGTTTAGACCTGGTTTAGTCTGGTTTAGACCTGGTTTAGTCCTGGTTTCCTGGTTTAGACCTGGTTTAGACCTGGTTTAGTCCTGGTTTAGACCTGGTTTAGTCCTGGTTTAGTCCTGGTTTAGTCCTGGTTTAGTCCTGGTTTAGACCTGGTTTAGTCCTGGTTTAGTCTGGTTTAGACCTGGTTTAGTCCTGGTTTAGTCCTGGTTTAGTCCTGGTTTAGACCTGGTTTAGTCCTGGTTTAGTCCTGGTTTAGTCCTGGTTTAGTCCTGGTTTAGTCCTGGTTTAGTCCTGGTTTAGTCCTGGTTTAGTCCTCTGTGTAATCCATTTATTTGAACAAAGTAACTGTAATCCAATTACCACTCACTGAAACAGTAACTGTAACTGAATACAGTTACTCATCATTTGTACTCTGATTACTCTGGTACATGTAATCTGTTACTCTGACACTGTACATGAGATCATTTACACGAAGAACTGGAAAAAGATTTAGAACAAGATTTAGAAAAATATTTATAATGACATTTATAATGAGATTGAACATTTATAATTGTTTTATGAAACAAACATTAAACTATAAAAACTGAAATAAGATTTTAGTTTTAGATTTATAATAAGATAGAATCATAAGATCTACACTTTACTCTAGTTTCTTCTTGTTCTGTGGTACAAACATCACACTCATGGATCTATAATCAAATCTATCATCATATTTTATAATTACATCTATAATCATATTTCATAATTATTCTAGAATCATAAATCATTCTAGAATCATATTTAGGGGCACCTCATTCTTTAATTTGAATCAACAGTGAGGTGCCCCTTTAACACTTTAATAAAGTGTTTTCAGATGAATATTGAGATTTAAAATGTGTAAATAAAAACAGAATCATCCACAGAATCGTTGGAACTGAATTATTCATAAATGAGTCAGTTCATATGAAATCAATGTTTCAAACAGGAGGGATTTTATTGACTCCAGAGCAGACAGTCAGCATGCTAACAGTGCACTTCCTGACACTAAATAAAAGCCTTTATAATCAGACATAGACAGTACACAGCACATTTATTTGGCTTCACATTTGGCTCAAATCTGTGGAAACAATTGAAAACCTTCCAAATAAAGTGAGTCATAAAAACATGATATTTGACACAAATCTATTTTTGGTTTCAAATTGAAACGTCACATCCTGAAAGCTGAAAGCAGAGCTGTGATTGGCTCAGAAGCGGTGCTCGGTGGTGACCTCAGCGGCGACGTCATCGTACTCCTCCTCCTCCTCCCGCCGGCCCGTCTCCGCGGAAACGAGGCGCCGACTTCCTGCGGACAGAGTCGGGACACGTGATGGGCTCGGAGCGGGGTCGTGTTCAGATGCCCTCCCAAAGCCCCTCTCTGCTCCACACTGCCCCCTACAGACGCCCCACACCTGTGTCTGTGTCAAACTCCACTGGAGCTCAGTCTGCTCACACAAACATGGACATGTCCCAGTGCGTTGCTCAATAACAGGCACAAGGAGAAGACGTGTGCTAAACACCATTCAACATGGGCTCATTGGGCCTGATTCATCAAACATTTTTACAAACAAATTTGTACTTAAGTCCTTCTCATGAACATTTTTGACATTTATAAAACTTTGTCTTAACTGAAAATGTTCTTCTGGAAGAACAAATCCTCCGAACACTCAGGACTCACAAGAACAAAAATGATACTGTTTTAGAAAATTATGACTCTGACAAAGCAACAGAAAATTCTAATTCCTCCATGATTGTAAGTGATATATTTCCTTCAATTATTTCCTAGAAACATGTGACTGTGTGATCCAAGAACATTTAGGAGCTGTTTTCTACAACCTGTGTCTCCTCAGTCTAACAGACTTTCTCCAGACTGAAGTGACCCTCCTGACCTCCTCCTGACCTCCTCCTGACCTCCTCCTGACCTCCTCCTGACCTCCTCCTGACCTCCTCCTGACCTCCTCCTCGTTCTCTTCTCTCACTTTCACGTGTCATGACACCAAACCCATATTGACCATATTTGGAAGTTCAGGACGTTTCGAACCAAAAACAGGTTCATTTTCTTTGTAAATTCAGTGTAAATGATGGTGGACGTGTTTGTTCGTAGGTGTTGGTGAATTCGGTGCAACTGTGACTTAAGAAGGAATTTGGATGAGTGAGAAGGTTTTGTGAATCTGGAGCAGAGTCTCTCAGCAGCTTCTTAAAGTGGAAGTGATGAAATAATAATTGAATGAAAAGATTCCTGAATGAGGCTCATTGTGGAGTTGAGGTGAGAGCAGCTCAGACTGTGGGTTACCTGTGTCACGCTGCCCCCTGTAGACCAGCACCAGCAGCACAGTGCACACGCCGTACGGACCGCCCACCAGCAGAGGGCGCAATACCCACAGCACCCACACAGAGCCGTAGAGGGGGGGGGCAGGAGGGGGAGGAGACGAGGGAGGAGACGAGGGAGGAGACGAGGGAGGAGACGAGGGAGGAGACGAGGGAGGAGAAGGGAGGAGACGAGGAGATCTGCAGGGAGAGAAAACATCAGATGAGTCAGTTCTAGTTTGTTTTATAAAAGTAACACAAAGTTGAGCCTCTTTTCTGTCAGGAGAAATAAACTAAAGGTTTAGTTGTGGTTCAGTCGTGCAGGTTGTTTTCACCGGTTTGACTTTGAAGTTGTAGATATTTTCTATTTGTTATTTTTTGATCTCTGGCGTCGTTAGAAGTGGGTGGACGGTGAACTCCCACGTACCACGTCCACTACAGCCCTGATCATGTGTGATGCTCTGTGTCGTCTGGATTTATGGACAGTGAAGCTTCATTTCTTTGTACAGTGTAAAGTGTTTCCTTACTGTGCCCGCGGTTCTATGCAGTTGAAATGTTAAATCTAGTGCGTTAAACAGTTTGTCC